CTAGCAACAGTTAGGCTAGTAACAGTTAGGCTAGCAACAGTTAGGCTAGTAACAGTTAGGCTAGTAACAGTTAGGCTAGTGACAGTTAGGCTAGTGACAGTTAGGCTAGTGACAGTTAGGCTAGTAACAGTTAGGCTAGTGACAGTTAGGCTAGTAACAGTTAGGCTAGCAACAGTTAGGCTAGTAACAGTTAGGCTAGTAACAGTTAGGCTAGTAACAGTTAGGCTAGTAACAGTTAGGCTAGTAACAGTTAGGCTAGTAACAGTTAGGCTAGTGACAGTTAGGCTAGTGACAGTTAGGCTAGTAACAGTTAGGCTAGTAACAGTTAGGCTAGTGACAGTTAGGCTAGTGACAGTTAGGCTAGTAACAGTTAGGCTAGTGACAGTTAGGCTAGTGACAGTTAGGCTAATAACAGTTAGGCTAGTGACAGTTAGGCTAGTGACAGTTAGGCTAGTAACAGTTAGGCTAGTAACAGTTAGGCTAGTAACAGTTAGGCTAGTAACAGTTAGGCTAGTAACAGTTAGGCTAGTGACAGTTAGGCTAGTAACAGTTAGGCTAGTGACAGTTAGGCTAGTAACAGTTAGGCTAGCAACAGTTAGGCTAGTAACAGTTAGGCTAGTAACAGTTAGGCTAGTGACAGTTAGGCTAGTGACAGTTAGGCTAGTAACAGTTAGGCTAGTGACAGTTAGGCTAGTAACAGTTAGGCTAGCAACAGTTAGGCTAGTAACAGTTAGGCTAGTAACAGTTAGGCTAGTAACAGTTAGGCTAGTGACAGTTAGGCTAGTAACAGTTAGGCTAGTAACAGTTAGGCTAGTAACAGTTAGGCTAGTAACAGTTAGGCTAGTAACAGTTAGGCTAGTAACAGTTAGGCTAGTGACAGTTAGGCTAGTAACAGTTAGGCTAGCAACAGTTAGGCTAGTAACAGTTAGGCTAGTAGCAGTTAGGCTAGTGACAGTTAGGCTAGTGACAGTTAGGCTAGCAACAGTTAGGCTAGTAACAGTTAGGCTAGTGACAGTTAGGCTAGTAACAGTTAGGCTAGTAACAGTTAGGCTAGTAACAGTTAGGCTAGTAACAGTTAGGCTAGTAACAGTTAGGCTAGTGACAGTTAGGCTAGTGACAGTTAGGCTAGTAACAGTTAGGCTAGCAACAGTTAGGCTAGTGACAGTTAGGCTAGTGACAGTTAGACTAGTAACAGTTAGGCTAGTAACAGTTAGGCTAGTAACAGTTAGGCTAGTAACAGTTAGGCTAGTGACAGTTAGGCTAGTAACAGTTAGGCTAGCAACAGTTAGGCTAGTAACAGTTAGGCTAGTAACAGTTAGGCTAGCAACAGTTAGGCTAGTAACAGTTAGGCTAGTAACAGTTAGGCTAGTAACAGTTAGGCTAGTAACAGTTAGGCTAGTGACAGTTAGGCTAGTAACAGTTAGGCTAGAAACAGTTAGGCTAGTGACAGTTAGGCTAGTGACAGTTAGGCTAGTAACAGTTAGGCTAGTGACAGTTAGGCTAGTAACAGTTAGGCTAGTGACAGTTAGGCTAGTGACAGTTAGGCTAGCAACAGTTAGGCTAGTAACAGTTAGGCTAGTAACAGTTAGGCTAGTGACAGTTAGGCTAGCAACAGTTAGGCTAGTAACAGTTAGGCTAGTGACAGTTAGGCTAGTAACAGTTAGGCTAGTGACAGTTAGGCTAGTAACAGTTAGGCTAGTGACAGTTAGGCTAGTAACAGTTAGGCTAGCAACAGTTAGGCTAGTAACAGTTAGGCTAGCAACAGTTAGGCTAGTAACAGTTAGGCTAGTAACAGTTAGGCTAGTGACAGTTAGGCTAGTGACAGTTAGGCTAGTGACAGTTAGGCTAGTAACAGTTAGGCTAGTGACAGTTAGGCTAGTGACAGTTAGGCTAGTGACAGTTAGGCTAGCAACAGTTAGGCTAGTAACAGTTAGGCTAGTAACAGTTAGGCTAGTAACAGTTAGGCTAGTGACAGTTAGGCTAGCAACAGTTAGGCTAGTAACAGTTAGGCTAGTGACAGTTAGGCTAGTGACAGTTAGGCTAGTAACAGTTAGGCTAGTGACAGTTAGGCTAGTAACAGTTAGGCTAGCAACAGTTAGGCTAGTAACAGTTAGGCTAGCAACAGTTAGGCTAGTAACAGTTAGGCTAGTAACAGTTAGGCTAGTAACAGTTAGGCTAGTGACAGTTAGGCTAGTAACAGTTAGGCTAGCAACAGTTAGGCTAGTAACAGTTAGGCTAGTAACAGTTAGGCTAGTAACAGTTAGGCTAGTAACAGTTAGGCTAGTAACAGTTAGGCTAGTAACAGTTAGGCTAGTGACAGTTAGGCTAGTGACAGTTAGGCTAGTAACAGTTAGGCTAGTAACAGTTAGGCTAGTGACAGTTAGGCTAGTGACAGTTAGGCTAGTAACAGTTAGGCTAGTGACAGTTAGGCTAGTGACAGTTAGGCTAGTAACAGTTAGGCTAGTAACAGTTAGGCTAGTGACAGTTAGGCTAGTAACAG